TTGCGAATGTAATGGCAGTGCACGAAGTGCACTGCTGTATGAAATGAGCAAATGAAGTGGCACGAGAGTTGGCAAGTGGGCTCGTGCAAGGGCTTCACAGAACGTCCCCGTCGGAGGTAGCGCCTGTTAGGCCTGAGCCGGCAATGGATATTAATGCCGACGCGGACCAAGTTGTATGTGCAAGAACTGTATCTAGATTGCTGATCAAATCCTAGATTGTATGCACATTGCGCTACCCAACAAGGACAACTATCAACTGCCAACTAGCCTGAAACGCAACGATGCGGCGAAGCTAACCCGCAAACGAACAGCTATGGCTAAACCGTAAACAGCGCGCGCCCGCCCGCCAGCGATCCCAGCGGCGGAGGTAGAGGGAGCCCCCCGGGACGTGTCGAAGAAGATGCGCCGGTGGTTCCATAGATGAGCAGAAGGGCCGCCGCCAGAGGGTGCTCGATCGAAGTCCGTGCAGCATGAAAAAGGAAAAAATACAGAGACGGCCAACGAGGTCGCCCGCGCGAGAACGGAACGGAACGGAACAGCGGAATCGCAGGGCCGGAAAGAGATCAAGAGAGCAGGGAGAAACAAGCGGAAGCGGAAAGAAAGGAAAAGGGTGGGAGCGGCCGACGGCCGCGGGGTGGGAGCTTGAGCAGAAGCAAGAAGGCGCCGTCCTCCTTGCGCTGTGAAGAAATCTTGCAGAGCGACAGAATGAAGATGCTGTCGCTAGTCTGCGGCTATCATAGCCGCAGAAGTGGGTTAAGGTTCTCGTTAGCAGAGAACCGTAATTCTCGACTAACTGCGATCGTCGAGAATTCGCAATTCTCTGCTATTGCGAGAACTCGCGAATGTAATGGCAGTGCACGAAGTGCACTGCTGTATGAAATGAGCAAGTGAAGTGGCACGAGAGTTGGCAAGTGGGCTCGTGCAAGGGCTTCACAGAACACAGAAGCAGGAAAGAGAGGGGAAGAGAAGATTACTGCGAGCGTAAAGAAAGATGATAAGGGAAAAGAAACGAAAAGAAAGTGAAGAACAGAACAAGTCGAACGAAACACGTACCGTTGCTAAATCAGCCGCGCCTCGCGTTCGAATGCGCGCAATTGTGCAATGGGAATGTCTTCTTGCAGGCCGAGGTTGCGGGTTACAGCAAGCTTAGCCTGAAGCTTCTCTTTTACGTAACCGTCTTTCGCGCGCTCAGAGCGCCAGCGGCCGTGCCCCTTGAACAGGCGGTCAGGAACATCGTTCGCGGCCGCGCCGGTTGCGCCGCCGCGTCGGCCAGAGTGAGTGCCGTAAAATTTTGGCTCGAGTCCAAGCAGTGACGCGTTCTCCTTAAACCAAGCATTGACGGTAGAGTAGCAAGGGGCAGAAGACTTGAGGCGCTGCTCGGGGGGGCAGATGAGCGTCGAACGGATGAGCGGGCCAGGACCGAAGACGCTGTAGCGGCCGGTCTGAAGAAGACGCTGGACGAGAGCTACCGGGCAGTAAGGTCCGCCCAAGCACGCCACAAAAACAGAGTCCCCGTGGCGGTACTGGTCAGTCTTGCTATCGGGGATGAACAGCTCCATGTGAGACTTGGGGAAGAACTTGATATGCTGCCACTGGATTGCTGCGAGGTCGTCATAGCGGAGAAAGGACGTGAAGCAAAGGGTAATGCTAGTAAGCTTCATGAGTTGATGGAGATTCGCAGACGGACCGCCCCAAAGCTCAAAAAGGCGACGGATTTGCGATGCAAGAAAAGGTCGTTTCTGGTTCAGGCCAGCAAGCTTGAGACGGCGGGCGACCTCGCGCGCCATCTGGACGACTGGATGATTTGTGGGGGAGGAGAGGCCGGCCATGGAGTGGTTCAAGTAAACGGCGCCGAAAAACGTCAGCAACGGGGAGGGAGTTTTGGCAGTCCGAAGGAGACGCATCATGTACAGAGCTACGGTGAGTGGCTGCGCCGGCAGGACCGAGACGCCTTTTTCAGAGCACCACTCCTTGAACTTCTTCCAAGGGCCAGCGTAAGTCCGTTCAAAGTTGACGCAGCGCGACAGAGCAGAGCGGCGTCGTGAAGATCAGATGACAGGTCGCGGATCTTGGAGTCGACTGCAGGGAGACCCGCGGCATCCAGCTTCCAGCTGTCGAAATTGAACCAATCTGCGAGATAGAGTAAAAGTCTAAGGAAAGGGGAGAAGTTCGCAAGAAAGAAGAAAGATCGAATTACCTGTCAGCGGAAGTCGACGTTGAGGGCAAAGACGTCAGAGATTGGGACCCCCTTGCCGAAGAAACGGTCGCGAGAAGCACGCCCCGGAACTAACACCTCACGCCCCGCCGGAAAATGAAGCTGGCCGCAGACGAACGGAGCAAAACCGCGACCGGAAGCGACGCTGCCGCACTGCAACAGCGGCCACCACGGAGCAGAACGCCAGCCGAAAACAACGAGTGTCATGCGCGCGCGGCACGCGCGCGCATGCCGAAGGGTCGGAGCGACCAAAGCAGGAGGTGGAAAGCAGTAGTTAATCTGATCGCTGCCCCAGTCTTGGGTGAAGGAATTAGCAGCTTCCGCTCCCTGACACCAGTAGAACGAATTGAACCGAGGTAGCTTGGCGTTGTGCTCGCTGGCGAAGCGGTCAACCGAAAAAGGACCAAAGCACCGAGAGACAAGCGCGAAGGTTTCGGCTAAAAGCCCGAAGTCGTCGACATCGCGAATCTTGCTGAGGTAGTCCGCGCGCGTGTTCTCCTCGCGAGGGAGCCACTCCGGTCGAAGTTCGATCCGGAGTTCAGAACACAGTGAGAAGAGCTCAAGGCAAATCGTCTGTAGATGCTCCTTCGCTGAACCTCCTTTTGAAAGAATCGAGAAAACGTTGAGCGCGTCTCCCCGGGCAATCACAGAGCAGTCACTGAGAAGAGGGCGGAAGGCACGCAAGAGACGCAGAAGGCCAGTCAGCTCGCGCCACGTGGAAGACGCAACGCCATGCACCTCGTGCGCTTCCCAAGCTCCGTGGGCCTCGTGGCGGACAGAACCTATTTCTAAGTGGCCGCCCCAACCCTGGCCATCAGCATCGTGGTACAGGACCCGAAGCAAAGAATGCTTTCGCCAGATAACCCGGCTCTCGAAACGAGGGAGATGTTCCTTCCAAAAGTGGAGCTCAGAGACGGCTGCAGAATCGAGCGCTACTTTACTGTACCAGAAGGAGCGCGAAGCGAGGGCGCGGTGAAGATAGCGAGAAAACAGGCCAGAGATTGGACCTGTAACTAGAGAGAGCGATGTAATCAAGCCAGTGATGCGAGCGAGAGCTTTTGCCTTGACCGCTAGAGGAGCGCGAAGACTCAAATCGATTGCAGCAGCAAGCTTAGCTTTGCGGAGAGCGGTAAGGCGAAACTGTCCAAAGAGAGTGTCAACGACGAAGCCTAGAAACTTGACTACATGGCTGCAGCTAAGCTGGCACTTGTCAAGAGAGACGACCAAACCCGCAGCAGCTAAGTCGGCAAGGACGCAAGCCTGGACTCGGGCGAACTCGGCCTTATCGCGACAGGCGAAGAAAAATTCGTCAATGTAGTGGACGAGGCGATAGCCGCGGGCGCGCCAGGACTTCGTCAGCTGCCGCATCACCATCGTAAAGACGTAACAAGCCGGAGCGAGCCCGAACGGAAGCTGTGTAAAAACGTAGTACTGTCCCTGCCACTGAAAGCCGAGGTACTTCCAGTGCGGCTCGTAGATATCGATGTGGTGGTAGCTTGACTTGAGATCTACTGTGAACAGAAAATCATTAGGGGAACAAAGCTCCGAAACCATGCGAAGGGACTCGTACTTGAACTTTGGCACCTGGAGGAACTAATTCAAGAAGCGCAAGTCTAGTATCAAGCGAAGCTTGTCCTCAGCTTTTGGAACAACACCCAACGGACTGACGAGGAAAGGAGCCTGTGAAACTGGCTGAATAGACCCCGTAGCTGCGAGGCTGGTCACGAAGCGGGCGTGCTCAAAAGCCGAAGGGTGGTTGGGAAACCGAGCGGGCTCAGAAGGGGGACTGGTGATCCAAGGAAGCATGTAGCCAACAGTCAGGATGCCAAGGACGAAGCTCGAAGTAACGAAGGAACGCCAGAAATCGGCGTGGCGACGAAGTCGATGGCGGAGGTAGGGCTCTCGTGCAGGAGGACTGGCAGACTTGTCCGAGGCTGCCGTCGTAGGGTTGCGGAAGCCCTCAAACTCAGTCGCCTCCGTTAAATCAGCCAGCTTGTGAAGAGACTCTTCGGTTGCTGCAGAATCATAAGACTAATCGTCACAGAAAAATTAAAAACTCAATGAACGGTTAAATGCAACAACAACTTTGTGCAAAAAGGGGCTCACAGGTGCGCCGAAGCGCCTGGCAGATTGCATTCTCTCGTGGAACGGACAGGGATGCTAGGCCCTGTGCTCATAGCCAACTGTTAGAAGGAAGGAAAACGCGAGATTTCGAAAGAACGTGATAAACAAGAAGAATAGTGATGAAAATGAACGGAAACCGTCGAACATGAACGGAAAAATTCCAAAAACGAACGGAATGAAACGGAACGGAACCCGACGAGTCTAACGGAACGGAAGAACAGGGAACGAAAAAGGAATGAAAGAACTTAGAATAGAACAGCTACTGCGGACTGAACAAGAAGTGCTCAACGTGGCAAGGAGAACTTAGAACGTAATAACAAGGACTGAACGGAACGAAAGAGAAAAACGGAACGAAATGGGAACAGAAAGGAACTAAATAGGGACGCGACTCATGCGCTTTCTTACAGCAATGGCAATTGGGATGTAAAGCCACACAAGTGGCTCCCAAGGATTGTTAATCACAGCCGGTTCGCAACGTGGAAGATTGAATTAAATTTGAAACATTGGAAGAGAATGAAGGGAGAACTGAACGGAACGGAACGGAACGGAAAGGAAAATAACGGAACGAACGGAAAAAAGGAACGGAACGGAATGGAAAGGAACGTGACTCATGGATTCTCATACAGCAATGGGCATTGGGGATGGAGACAAAGAGCCTCCTCCCAAGTATTCTAATCACAGCCGTTCCCAACAGTGATTGGCAGAAGGAATAAGAATCGGAAAATCTACTAGAAAAACTCTACCAGAAACAATATAAGAGTACAGCAGAGAGAACACAGAAGAAGAGACAACGAATTAGGGTACGTTAGATGACAATGGCAAAGCAATTGTATCAAAGAGGACGCTGGCAATTGGGAGAAGAGAGGAATGTCAAAATGAAGAAATCAAAAGCAAGAGATGATGGAAAGGTCATATTGAAGTTTGAAAAGGACTCGATAGGAAGAAAACGAAGGAATGTATGCAATTAAAAGGCGGTGGGATCAGGAATGGGATCGGTTGTGTAATGAAGAGCATCAAGGAGTGTTGATATATAACTGGGACATTAGAGTTCTCATCATCAAGTCTGGTAAACACTGCAGGTTACAAACATCTGGTCCATATGAGAAGCTCTGACTCTTAGCAAGGAAACCCTAGCAAAATGCTATCCAACTGTGCTTGCTATCTGACCAGCA